CTCAGTTAGTTAAACCGCAAAACTCGCCTTCTTTCATCGCATCTTCTCCCCCCCCTCCTCACTTCCTTTCCATCAGTTCTCTTTCTCCAATAGAACAGGATTTATATCCTCCTCTTGTCCTCCTCCCCTGGAGACGACAATCAGTTACCATCTGGTTCAGCATCGGCGGGGTAGATGTATGAAACTGACCCCGCACAGAGATCAACTTCCTGAGATGTCAGAGGGACTTGTGTTGTTGCATTCACTGGGGATAGGGAGGGAAAGTCATGGAGGGGGGGTATCCTCCGGCCCCTCTTTTCTTTTTCTCTTTTAAGGCCCCAAGATGTTTTCTCTAAGGGATTGATGCATCTCCCACGCAGAGGAAGGGAGCAGGATATCAGGAATTCTGAACTACAAAGTGTGTTTATGTGAATATAGTACGCCGCCGCAGAAAGCATATACGAGTACTTGTTCGGCTGGTTTTGTCTTTATGTGACATTTGATCCCTCATCTCCTGCTGAAACTCAGCCAGACAGAAAATATAGGAGTAGGAAGTATCAGCTGATTGCACAGAAAGAATCGAGGAAGTGATTTTTTTTTTTTGATGCACTGATAGTGGGGCTTTGGCAGATTTATGCTTCTCTGAAATCTGGAGGTCTGGAAATTTGAGTAAGTATAGTCCCAAGGAGCCTTATAGTCTAAACCGAGGCCAATAAAAGCTGATAGTGTGCCCCCCCCATCTCTCATCAGCTTGCTGTCTGCAGAAACATATGAGGGGGGTTAACCATAATTTACCTCTAAATAAGGGAATTAATCTCGGCATCGATTTGTTATCAGTAGAGGAACACTGCAGATTGTGTTACATAAGAGACTTTGCCTTAATGCTGTTGACTCGGAGAGAGAGAGAAACAAACAAGTCGTGTCAGTTCCCATTGTTACTTCCCTTTAATTATGTCTAAGATTTCAGGTAACGTAATTATCCGACTCTGGACACAAACGTAATTGAATAGTGGGATGGGAATGAGAGGAAGCGAATGCGGCATTGCCATCTCTCTCCATCTGTGGAAGGGAAACCATTAGATGGGTTTGAGAAGCCCATCACAGTTTGGTTTACAGTCACTATTTCCTCTCAAAGAAGAAGTTTCAGCCAAATATACAAGGAAAGAGAGAGAGAGACCTCCAAATGTGAATTTATGGTAGAACTCAACCTTTTTCCTCTTGGGTTGGTTTTGATACTTGACGTCGTACATTTGATCCGTCCATGTTTAGTCAGTGTGTCCAAAGTGTTTACTGTAAATTTCGTCTGCCATGACTTTGGTTTTCTACTCTGCTTCACTCGTTCCCCTTTCTTCTGTCAAATTTTTTCTTTTCAGCTCCAAAGTTCAAAGAAAAGCTTTTGATTTTACAGCTTGATGCCAACAACAATGTGCAGATTAATACAATTCAGCTTGAATTGCATGTATGCAACCCAGTGCATAAAATGCTTCTTTTGGGGGAGAGGCTGTCAGAGCTTGAACCTTTTTAGGCCATAGTTTGTAATTTTGTTTGATTGGATTTCATTATGTTTTTCTTGCGGTTTTACCATTTCCATACAAAAAAAACACATAAACACTGAATGGTAATATTCATATAATCGTTCTCTGATTTACGTCTCAGAGAGAATTACCAGTCTCTCTGTAAAGCCGTTGTCAGACATGAACTCCTGAAAATGTCCGGACAACAGGGTCCACACTTTATCCAGACTCTGTCTTATACATACTTTATGAAGAGGGAGATTCAGTGCAACAGAGAAATCAGAGCGTGACGTATACATTCTCCTGACCCAATCACAGATTTTTGTTTATGACTTATTAACACTTGTGTCTGCTTTTATTGGAACAATTACCTATTTATCTAAAGAATAACCGCTTTCACGTAGTCGCGCAGATCCAATAGCCTTGAGAAACAAATATCTGCACACACGCACGCTCGACTTCCAACACTAGTCCTCCAGTAAACATCAAAAGAACGATACGCGAGCAAACAGAGCAACAAGCTCATATGACTAATGATCGGGTTTATCAAGGCTTTTGTTTGGCTCTGACATGGGTGCCGATCAGCACAGTGCAATGCCTTATACAACTACTGGTGTTGCACACTTGCACACACACGCACACACACACAACTTCACATACACACACATGCGTGCAGCACTGAGGCAGAGATATAGCGAACATGCCACTCCTTGCTCCTGGAGTTATCTCCTGGACATTTGTGACGACAGCGCAGCTGGAGGAAGTGAAGCAATCTGTAATTAGTCTTTGTCACAGTATCACCTGCGTCTCTGAGACTCCACCCTCATTTAAAGCAAACTGGGAACTGTATATACGTTTGATGAGTAAAACTTGAATCATATGCTGTGGAAAAAACAGGGTTGTGGGAACTTTTACTCACCTGCTTTTGTTCGTCTGTGCAACAGTTTATGACAAATCTAACTCAGACATATGAGACCATATGAACCATTTGGAAATTGATCTTCTAGGAAGGATTGCGACGCTATCTCTCAGGTCTAACTTCTGTTGAATCAGCCTGACCTTGTTTCTTCCTCATGTGTTGCTGCCTAATGAGGAAGTCAGTTTATGGTCATAGAATATCAGGTCATTCACCACCTGCAACAGATGTGATGAAAACAACATCTAGACGACGGGAGTGTTTACCATGGCCCCGCTGCTGTTTGCTTGAGCACAATCTAATCATTTTTTTCTTTCTGCCTTGTGCATCACTCAAGTACGAACTTCAGGAAATTGAAAAGTATAGTTACCTGCCTTGTGCAGCCTTTACTGATCATCATAGATAGAGAGAAATGAGTAGATGCTATACCATACCTCCACCAAGGCCTAATAGTCTACTTGAATTCAACCAAGCAGCACCAAATTACACACACTCATGGATGTCAGTTCCCTAAATATGAATTGTTTCAAGGCAAGGTCCAGGGATTATTCTCTAGGAAATTGTTGAAAATGTCAAGATCTTGTATTGTTAAATAAAGTGAAAAAAACAAAAACCCTAGATCTGCCCCTTGATCTGCATCCGCACCAAAATTATATGGGTTCTTCTCAAATGCATACCGCATCCTTCACCTAAATTTCGAGTTAATCCATTTTATAGTTTTTGCATAATCCTGCAAAGAAACAAACAGATGACGATATAACCTCCTTGGTGGAGGTAATAATTCAGACAGGAAATAGGCTCTATGTACAAATGTGGCACATATGCACATAGATTTACTGTATGTGGCATATCAACAAACCATAATTAGTATCCCTGTTAGCAAACTATCATCTGGGATCTCCAAATCAGATTGATTAATAGTCCCAGCTGCACTGTCATGGCAACCTTTTTGTTTATTACAATTTGGTTTCTCAATCTGAGTAATAATTAGGGGGCTAATTGCATCTCGCATGGCTCCTCTAATTAAAACCGTCAGCTTGCTTTTGCTCGTCCGCTTCTGCTGCCCGGGCTTTAGGCCGCTGGACTGCAGGGTTCATATCAGGGAGATCCCTCAGGGACAAACTAATGAGGAGGAAGAGGAGGGAGGGCGGGAGACAGCTGTTTTTGCCTAATTCTCCCTGATTCGATGCACCCTCACTGTGGGTTTACGTTGAACAACAACCTGAGTGAAACTGCATGAGCATGAAACACTGGCCGTTGATACTTTGACTGAGCTGAGAGATGATATCATATTTTTTTCCTTTCCTTCAGTCCTGAGAATCAGAAATTCCTCAGTCATGTTAAAATAACTGATATGTGCCCGGCGGTGTTGTGAGGTGTGTCTCAGAATTCGGTGCACATGTTTTGTTTCACCATGTCAAGAGCAGACACGTTGAGGAATGTGACCCACGAGACATTACACCAGAACCATAATTTATTCTCAGATAAACAGGGGGAAGAATCTCTTTGTTTTTCTCGAGCTTTTACCCAACTTAACTTATAAACCAAGACATAAAAGAGAGAAATCGATTTTTCCCTTAATTACATGGAAGCGTACAGTGTTTGTGTGCATGAAGGGGTGTTGAACAGTTGACCCTCTCCAGTCAGAACCTGTCTGACCAGCTTGTGACGCCTGAATCCTGCAAAACAACCCGACACGCATTCTTCCCTTTTAAACATGCATTCATCAAGCAGGCTTTTGTGTCTGCTGCACTTCTCAGTAACGCTGCCTTCCTTACGCAAACATTTTGTTGCACAATGCCAGATACAGGCTACATTATCAGCCTAAAACTGTGAATCCTCCTGTGAATCTCAGTGCCTTTGTTTCTAGTGAAAGTGCACAGATCAGCATGTGATTCAAGCCCTCATTTGTTATTTATTCATATCGAGAACTTATCTTGATATCAGATGTGCGTGAAAATGAGCTGAATTTACCGAGACAGTTGTTAGATATGAGATTTAGAGCTCCAAAGTTCCCCCAAGAAACCCAGTCACTAATCTCCTGGATATGTGACACACCAAATGCCTTCTCCGAAATGACACGATGGGCCTGGAGATGCCGGTCACAGTGGTTGTTTTTAACTAGCACTGCGCAGCAGTGGAAAAGACTCAGGCCTTTGCCAGTATAAATACGGCCAGCTCGCTCTGACACACGAGCCAGAACTCGCTTTGTCGCTGAGATTTCACTCCTATTGTAGACACAGCCGACATCGCTTATTTTCACATGAAAAGCCGGCCAAGTTATGACTGCACGGACCAAATTCACAAACAGACACACACAGAGGCACACCCGTACACACACACGGATGGAGACACACCCGCACACACACACACACACACACACACATGGAAAGTGATAAATTGAGCCAATGTGTTACATAAGCAGTGGATGTTTCAGACTGAGAGCACCATGGAGCTTTGGATTCATGCTTTTCTGACAGTGCACTGCGATTCCGCATGATTTACCTGCATTGTGCATCATTTGTTTCAAGTAACATTCAAATATGGTTGAAAGATTATCACAATTCTTATGATTTCTTTTTTGTCTGCAGTATGCCAAGGCATCACCAACCGTTTAAACCTTCTGGGTTCCAAAGAAGACCACTACCTGAGCTTGGTGAAGACCTACAACAACTGCGTTGTGGTCCTGGAGAATCTGGAGATCACATACATGGAGGCGCACCGTGACCTGTCCTTCCTCAGGGTAAAGACTATTAACAGTGGAGGCCAAACATGCAAGAGAGGTTACTTGTTTTTAGTCTTCTCAATCTCTTTGGTGTTCCAGAGACAGTTCACCAGACAATCTGAGCCCTGGATCTTTGCAGAGCTCCCGACTGCTCTTATCACCTCATTTCAGATAATTAAAATCAATGCAGAGAAATTCTGCAGAGGGACGGATGATTCGCTGTGTTTGTAACTTTGGTCGGAGCTTTGATTCAAAACTCCAGCTGTAAAGACCTCACAGATGTGAGGAGGGACCACACACACACTGACATGCAAGCTTGCACCCACAAACAGAAATAACACACAGTCAGCAGATATCATGCACAATGTCCAAGGATGTAATTTCCTTTTGCGAGGGGAGGACATGTTACTCAAAATAACATTTTCCTTTTTAGGTGTCATGATATCTCATCTTTTGGCTGCACGCATACGGATGACCTGTGCTGATTGTTTGGTCGATAATATCAGACATGAGTCTTTCGCAATGATATTGGCTTTTATGCACAAATATACATTGGCCTCTGAAATTTTTAGTTCCCTTTATGAGTGTTGGCCTCAGCCCCAAAGACTCTCCATTGCTCAGGCTCTAGTGCTTTTTTCTGGGGGGGTGGTTGGGGGAGTAAATCCTTTAATTTGCATGATTTGTAAAACCATTCATAGTTTTAACATACTGTGTCAAATTTGATAAAGATATTCATTAATTTATTCACGTCAGTTCAGTTTTTATTTGTTAACTAAAGAAGCAAATGATTATCTCACTTCTAAAACCAAATATTTAGCCTTTATTGAAAACTTTTAATGGGCTCAGCAGCAGAGCACATTTTCTACCTCAATGACAAACACCTTTTTTCTTCCGCAGTCAATTGAAGAAGTGGGCGGCTACGTCCTGATTGCCCTCAACTTAGTCTCCAGGATTCCTCTGGAGAACCTGCGCATCATTCGAGGTCATTCCCTCTATAAGGGAAAGTTTGCCCTTAAAGTTCTCGGCAATTATGACAAATCTACCAATCAGGGCACCAAAGAGCTTCTTCTGACCAGCCTGACGGGTCGGTCCAATTCTCTGTTTTCAGGTTTAATGTCACAGGATTTCAAAATAATAATACAATTCAAATTATATAAGTACACTTATCAACAATACATTATTCTGCAGAAATTCTTAAAGGAGGCGTAACGTTTGAGGCTAACCAGCTTTGCAACGTGGAGACGATACAGTGGGACGATATCGTCAACGCTGACAACAAACCCAGCATGGAGCTCCCGGGGGCCAGCAAAAATCCAAATTGTTAGTCACACACTTAACAAAATACAAAGTCTGCAGGTTTCATTCATCATGTGTGACGAAACAATTAGATGTAAACATTTGACTGTGTTTTTCTACAGGTAAACCATGTGACTCAAAGTGCTTCAATGGTTCATGCTGGGCAGCTGGTCCTCAAAACTGTCAAACATGTAAGAACCATCTGCGTTTTTATTCTTCCTTTTGAACTTTTGTTATTCCTCATTAAAGTATTCAGTATATGCGTAGCACGACAAAGGTATTAGGGCCCAAAGAAATCTGAGATTTGAAGAATGAAGCTGTAATAATACCAGACAAAGCTCAATTTTATAAGAATGAAGTCAAAAAGAAATCTGAGATTCTGAGAAAAAAAAGTCTGCTTGTTTTTTAAAAGTTTTCTCAAAATCTTAGTGAAAGCAGTTTGCCATATTGCAAGATAGTTCCAATACTCTCTTTGAAGTCATAGTACTCATTTCTTGACTGTATACCAACAACATAAAGTGAAAAGTACTTTGCAAAAATTCTCCATAGTTTTCACCATAATGTCAACATAGCAATGGTTTTATTTACAGCTTTAATAAACCCCTAAAACTACAGAAGAGTTTTAAAAAGGATGATATGCTGCTTCCTGTCGCTCTTCTGACTTTGTCCTGTTCTTGTCTCCAGTAACAAAACTGAACTGTGCACAGCAGTGCTCTCAGAGATGCAAAGGACCTTCACCGAGCGACTGTTGTAATGAGCATTGTGCCGCGGGCTGCACAGGACCGCGGCCCACCGACTGTCTGGTGAGAGAAATACGTCTTCTTATGTGGGACGGGAGTGAAGATACAATCAAAGAGCTGGGGAACAGACGAGCTAATAGAACATCAAAATAAACCGAATGTCTCGTATCCCTGCGTTAAATTTGGCTGAGAGTCCTCCGACTAAACAAACCCATCACTCGGCAGCATCTGTTTTTATGATCAGAAGTTTTTTTATTGTTTTCCGTACCAATGAGACACATGAGTGGCGATAAAATCTCTCATCTGGCAGCGCCTGGAGTTTCAGTGTCTGCTCTCCCTCTTCTCCCAGCAGCTCTGAGGCTTAGTCCAAGGCCGTGATGGAGGAATGCAGTGTTATCATTAGTTTGGGGCTCTGTTTTGATCCCTGTGTACTGGATGACTTGTTTGTGCTGCAGGCCTGTCGGGACTTCCAGGATGACGGGGTGTGTAAGGACTCCTGCCCGGGCCTCATGCGCTACGACCCCAACCTTCACCAGCTGGTACCCAACCCCCACGGGAAGTACAACTATGGGGCCACATGTGTCAAGAGCTGCCCACGTAAGAAAATACTGTCAAACTTCGTATTTGTGATCATATTTGTGTTCTTCATATTCATATTTGAGTTCTTGTTCCTCTTCATATTCATAATCCTATTTGTGTTCTTCTTCTTCTTCGTATTTATGTTTGTGTTGTTCTTCTTTATATTCGTATTCACATTTGTGTTCTTATTCTTATTAATGTTTTTATTCTTATTTTTGTTCTTTTTCTTGCTAGGAATCTTATTTTTTTTTATTTAATATTCTTATTTTTAGTCCTATTTGTGTTTTTGTTTTTGTGTCATTCTTACTGTTGCCCTGACAGTCAAATCTAGTCGGCCTCACTAGCGAATACGAAAAGACATCATACATGAGTACGAGCAGTTTTGTGTTTTGTTGAGTGTCCAGGTTGTCCTTCAGTTTTGTTAGACATTCATTGGTTACAGTTTAATGATAAACTGTATGAACAAAGAAAGACAATGATTGAGTTTCAGAACGTGTTTATGCAAGAACTGTTCTCTCTCAGTTTAATTTTTACATATCTGTCCCTGTATTACTCCGCTCTTGCTTGAGAGCCTGCAGCATTATTATCCCCCCTGGTGATGATGGTGGTATATCTCATATAGGGTATTAAGGCAGAATGAAACATTGAGATGTGCTTGTTTTTCTGCAATAATACCAGATAACTACATTGTGACGGATCACGGGGCCTGTGTGCGGACGTGCAGTGGGAACACATATGAGGTGGATGAGGGTGGATTCAGGAAGTGCGCCAATTGCGATGGACTGTGTCCAAAAGGTAGGAGGTTAATATTTCTCCATGAGCAACCCGGGAATGCACAACAACATAATTCACAGACCGCATACCAAGTTATAAAACAATGGGTTGGTATAGATAAACATTAACTTGCACCTTTACCAACTAAAACATGCTCCTGCTTTTATTAATACATCAGTAATACTGATCTAAAGGGCCTCAACTGTGGGACTCCAAAGAGACTGTGACACAACATTTAGAATAGAATATAAAAAACTGCTGTTAGCTACTGTCAATATAAAATAAAGTTATCCGCATTATCTGCAAATTAGAGCTGTGTCTCAATTCAGCAGCTGAATCATCCCACGGCCGCATAGATCTCTGGATTAGCTGTGACCTCAGCTTTTGCCAGTAACTTCTCCCCAGTGATGTTAATGAACATTGTTTGTTAACATACTAAGCCTGAGACTTTTGTCTGTTTGTTTTTCTAATGGTTTACAGTTTGTTATGGACTTGGAGCAGGAGACCTGAGTAACACTCTGTCCATCAATGCCACCAACATCAACTCCTTTAAAAACTGCACGAAAATCGATGGGAACATTGGGATCTTCTTCACATCGATTCATGGGTAAGTCATGGACATGGCTGTGTATATCAACTGTATAACCTTCAGTAGATCACTGAGAATGTTTATTGAAAGCTAATAACGTGTTTTTTCTTATTTTTTAGGGATTCTTTTACCAAAACACCAAAGATGGACCCTGCCCAGCTTGATGTGTTTAAGACAGTTAAAGAAATTACCGGTAAGACTATGAAAACCTGAGTAATGCATGACACACTAAATACACATGTAATAGTTTCACAATTAATAAAAAACCATGTGTTGCTTCAGGATCCTTGTGGATTGAGACGTGGCCAAAGAACATGAGCTCACTCAGTCCCTTTGAGAATCTGGAGATCATTCGAGGAAGAACTAAGCCGTATGTTCCTTATCAAGACCTCTCCTATAGATTCACAACCGCTGGATCACGAGGAGTACGTTTGTTTTCCAAAAGGTTGTTGTTATTCAAATTAAATCTTTCTCCTTTCCTTTGGTAGTGGTGCCCGGAGCTTGGTTATTATTCAGCTCGATATCGACCACCTTGGCCTTCGCTCCCTCAAAGAAATAAGCGATGGAGACGTGGTCATCATTAAGAACAAGAACCTGTGCTACACCAATAAAAACCACTGGGAGGGGCTCTTCAGATCAAAAAGCCAAAGTGCCAACGTGGGGGATAATGCTGACGCTGCCACATGTGGTAAATTAGATTTTTGTTTAATTCAGTCAGATGCTGTTATTGTTTGCAAAATCCAGATGCAGTCCACCAGCCAGATGAAATTAACCGTGTCAAATTGGTTGAGTGTGCAGCAGAGATCTCCTCTTGAGATTGTGTGTTTGTTATCAGCTCTGAGGAACAACACGTGTGACAGGAAGTGTACCGCGGAGGGCTGCTGGGGTCCAGGCCCGAACATGTGCTTCGCCTGCCGTAACTACAGACGCGATGGGAGCTGTGTCGACTCCTGCAACATCTTCAAGGGGTAAGGGGGGAGGGGCTGGATTTAACAGGTTCTACTACTGTTCATCTCTTAAATGCAGCATTTCTTATTTTGGACAGAACAGAAGCTGAGCATCAGATGAGTGTGTTCACTCCTTCAAAGTCTATATTCTCACCACGAGCATTTCCAGACAATGACACTAGACAAGTATGGGGATTTGTTATTGAAAGACGCTAAGACTAAATATGATCCAAGATATTTTAAAACTCCAGCGGTTATAAAACAAACACTGCAGCTGGAATAGCACATTCACTCACATGTGTTTATCTTTGCAGATCTCTGTCAAACATTGAAACTCGACATGCTTACATTTTAACTTCTGCCCTGAAAAAAGGGAGCAAGAATTTCACTTCACATGTTGCTGTTTGAAACGAGGCACGCCGGCGGTGAGAGTCTGTCAGCTTTGTTATTGTTTTTTGTTTCTTTGCAGAGAGCAGCGGGAGGTGGTCGTGAATAGAACCTGCAAGGCGTGTCACGCCGAATGTCAAAGAATGAACGGGACGGAAACCTGCAGCGCACCTGTACGTGTTTCACCCACAGCTAAGTTATTGTTTTAAAAAGAAAGAAGAAACAAATACCCTTGTAAAAAACGTCTTTGAGTGTCTCTTAGTGTTCGTCACTCAGCATGAAATCCACTTCTCCGTCAACAGCAGCCTTAATAGACTGTAACGCAAGGCAGCCAGAAGACATGTTGAGTTTTGTACAAGGGGTGTGGCTGTGTGAGCTTCTTTTAAATGCTCATAATCCCATCGTTGATTGAAAACAAGCAAGCTCAGGCCCTTTTTTGAGTTTGTTGAAAGAAATTCTAAGAAAAGATCAAATGTAGAACTAAACCTGCAGATGAAGAGGTTTTTTTTTAAACATTATTTTTATAGGACTGAACAATCATACATACAAAAACATGCACAAATGCCGTCCCTCCCTAAGCCCAAGCACAAAACATTCAGAGAAAGAAAACAATAAAATGAAATTAAACTAAACAAGAGTACTTTTTATATGTGCTGTTTTACACTTTTGAATTTCATATTTCACTTTTCACTAAACTTCCATCCGACCACGTAAGTTGAGGAGGTTTTGGTTTGAGAAAGTATCAAAATACAGCGTTCGATCATAATAAGTGTAACAGAGGAAGGAGTTGTACTGGACTTTAACATGATAGGATGTTTTTCATCACCATAACATTTGCATCTTCATGAGGAAGATTTATGAAACTTTCTGAGAAATAACTGCCCCAAAACAGTGAAGCTTACATAATATTTACTACTCCCCTCATGAGACCCGTAAACATCATCTCTTTTTTTTTTGCTTACAGGGTCCTGGAAATTGTACGAAGTGCGCCAACTTCCAAGACGGTCTGTTCTGTGTGTCTCGCTGTCCACAAGGCGTGCCAGGGGAGGACGAAGCGCTAGTGTGGAAATACTCCAACAAGATGAAAGTGTGCCAGCTTTGCCACAAAAACTGCACTCGGGGGTAAAAGCATTGTTCCGCCCATCTGAGAACTGACACTAAACAGTTTCCTTGTTTTACAGAAACTTGCACGTGGTAATGTTGATGCAGTAACTTAAGTAGAAAAGAAAAGAGAAGGACTCCTTGCTGGCTTTGAGCAGAACCTGGATCTGCCTAGTGACAACAGAGCTCCATAGATAACATTTCTATTAGAGAGAGATTCCGTGTTTACCACCGCACCGCCTGAAACTTCTTAGCAACGATGAAAGCCACAGGTTCAGAGTAGAGGATCTCTAAGCTCTAGTGTTTTAGAGACGTTCGGTATTTGTTCCCAAATTTGATTCAAGTCTGATAGGCTACAGTTTGGAGAAGTAGTAATATTCATTATTGAGTGTTACTTTGGTGTCAAATAAGTTTCATATATGAGCAAACTTTGTCCCAGTCTATAATTATTCCTTATTCCATATTTTTAACTTCCACCATGGAGGTTTTCATCTCAGATTGTTTGTCTCTTGGTTTGTGCTACAACTACTGGATGAAATACCATGGAACTTGGTATGGGTCAGGGGAGAGGCCATGACATTTTGATGCAAATCCAGGATTTCTTCATCATTTTCTTTAACATGCAAATTATTTAGTAGGGTATTTTTTTTGACATTTGTGCTGATTTCCAGGCATAGTTAAAGGACTGATTTCTGAAAGTGTGCACAGTTAGCTGAGGTTTGGCAGAGGTGTGCACTCTACTAAGTGTCATTCTGATTCCATATTTGTATATGTAATGTGATCTGATCATCATAAATGAAATGCACCATTTATTTAAAAATGTACAAATGTGAGATATTTTTTTCTATTTACAAAAAATCTAATTATTTCTGACCCATTTTAATAAGCATACCATGGTTTAGTAGGTTTCTCTGTAGAACTGATCTTTTTCTGCATTAGAGACTTGTGATGAGTTGCTGAATTTTTAGTATGAGGACACAGTGACGTTGTAATTACATCAGATTCTTTGCTTTGATTTGTTTACAGGTGCGTTGGGCCTGGTCTTGAAGGCTGCCAGACTAAGAGGTGAGTGATCATTGATGTTTGAGGATGCACATACTTTTCATAACGTTGTTTCCCTTGTTGATTCAATTCACAAATGTTAAATCAGCCTTCTCCTCTCTTTCAGAGCCTCTGGTCTCTCCATGATTGCAGCCGGTGTAGTCGGCGGGCTGCTGGCTGTTCTGATTGCAGGCCTGTCCGTCTTTGTGCTGCTTCGCCGACGCCACATCAAGAGGAAGAGGACACTGCGCAGGCTGCTCCAAGAGAGAGAGGTATGATGGGAGAGTTGAGTCACCGTCCTCTCAGGAGGACGTCAATATATTGAGAGAGGTGTCAGGATTACAGAGATGCCAGAGTGCTGAATGCTGAGATCACAATTTTTACTTGTCTTGTTGTATCCATCAATTAGATTTTTGTTTGTTTGTGGCTTGTAATGAATATTGATTCGCTCTAGTGGATTGTCGAACAATCACTTGTGCTGTTTGGGAGAGAGTGTGCAAGACATTCAGTTCCTTGTTTTTTCCAGTTGGTTCAGCCTCTGACTCCGAGCGGAGAGGCACCGAACCAGGCGCTGCTGCGGATCCTGAAAGAGCCTGAGTTCAAGAAAATCAAAGTGCTGGGCTCCGGGGCATTTGGCACAGTTTATAAGGTAATAACATGCCTCACACATTGTTGTTAAAATTCCACTGCAGTGAGAACACAATGTGCCAAGTCTTCAAAACCAAGTGTTTGTTTGTATTTCATCTTCATCTGTTTTACTTTTCATAAAACATGAGTGACTTCATTCTCACTTTCAGACCTCTCTCTCCCTCCCTCTATGGACTTAATAAATTCATTAATCACAATTCCCGATCGCAGTCACAAACAGAGCGTTGTCATAAAATAGTCCATATACTCCAGTTGCAGAGGCCGCAGGTTCGGTTCCGACACAGCCGTTTGCATTGTGTCTTCCCTGCTCTCTGTCCACTTTTCAAGTTTAGGCTGTCCTGTCAACAAATTCTAAAAGTACTGCTGTTTTGCAATCTACAATCATTACACTGTAATTATTCTTCATACGATGACAGTTTTGCTACAAAAAATAGTGATATATTATAATATAATGAATGGTAACTCCTGTGTGTGTGTGTGTGTGTGTGTGTGTGTGCGTGTGTGTGTGTGCGTGTGTGTGTGTGTGCATGCGTGCTCTTGGATTTCTGCCCTTAAAATGACCTTTCGAGGTTTTAGACCTTCAGGGTGATTTTTTGTGTGATTAAAGACTTGATTTGAAACAGGTTGGAGTTATAATGAGAATTTTTTGTTGTTTTTTGTAGAGGTATAAAATTAGTGTAAAAAGTACTTCAGATCTGTATTTAAGTGCAGTACCTGATGTACTAGGGCCCTTACAAGCATAGAATGTGCTGACACTATATGGAGGTGAACGTGTACATGTGCCTGTGAAATAACAAAGCTGTGTTGGTACAGGGCCTGTGGGTTCCGGAGGGCGAGGACGTGAAGATCCCAGTGGCCATCAAGGTTTTAAGAGAAGCCACATCACCAAAAGCAAACAAAGAAATCTTGGACGTAGGTTCACTCTTTTATGTGGTCCTTTTATTTTAATATGCTTTCTGTAAAACTGAGTCAGAACAGTGATTCATTTAAAACTTTATTTCCCAAACTGGTTAAGTGAACTGTGCTCTGCTGGTGGGAAACGACAGGAAATATATAACACAAAATACATTTTCAAGTGTCTCTCACAACAACTGAGACTTGACAAGTTCATCAATGTGTTGCACAGAGTGAGGGACAATTAATGCTTGCCAGATGTCACTTCAAAAAAGCGTGTCCTGTGATTTATAACACGTAAAGCCCTTATAAACTAAGGCTGCTGGAAATGGGATTAATTCCTCGGAAGTCAATGTGTGGGTGTTGCTGTGTAATCTTTTCTGGGAGGAGATGCAGCCCTGAAGCGGTTCTGAGAAATCAGCCTGTTTAAACTGATGATTCAAAGAGTTGAACATGCACCTCAGGTCCTGTGATTTTGTTTTTTTGTGGTCATGTTGCCCCGTCACTTTGAAACTTCTCTCCATTTGTTGGTTGGTTTGAGTGCGCAAAAACTTCTGACCTCCATGGAAACAATGATGTGGAATGGGTCAGGGAATTTTGGTGGGGATCCTGGAAAATGTTATTTTAAAAAATTACGTGGCAAGCACATTTTGACATTTTCACTGATTTCCCCAGGGAATAATTCATGGATCATGATGATAAAATCAGATTTTCTATGAGTGTGAGCAATTTGGTGCAGTCTGATTGAATTAAGGGGACTGTTGGGCCCTGGTGGAGGTATGTGCTCCACTGAGTGCCATTCTAGTGTTTTAAAGCATTGTTGCTTCCTCCTCAGACTGTCAGAGCAAAAACCCAGAGCTGTGAGCAATGAAGTGATTATTTCCTAAATAATCTTGTCATAGATGTATAAAATATTTCCAGTCGATGCACTGAACAGTAAATATACCTGTCCATCTAATCTGTTTACCTCCTAGTAAGAAGCCTGTTATGTGGATTATCCCTGTGTTTTTTTCCTCATATGATGTCTTAAGAGTTTCCACTCTGAGCTGAGACCTGTTAAATATGCTTGGCTGAGTATGCCTGTTGCTAAGAGACTTATTTCCACATACGTTGTGAGCTGTCCACGATAAATATGGATACTTCAACTGAAGATCAAATAGGCTCTGAAACATTTCTTTTTCGTCACAATTTTTCTTCAGCCCATGAATTAGACAAGATATAGAAAGTAAGACAAAAACAAACAGAGTAATCCCATATGAATTTTGGCAGCGTAGCGTGTTGTTTTTTGCATTGTGTCACCTGATGAAAAAAAGAAAAGAAGATTGATTGTGTGTCCACACGCACGCTGCAGGAGGCGTATGTGATGGCCAGTGTGGATCATCCCCACGTGTGTCGTCTGCTCGGCATCTGCCTCACCTCCACGGTGCAGCTCGTCACCCAGCTGATGCCCTTCGGCTGCCTACAGGACTACGTCGTAGAGAACAAGGACAATATCGGCTCCCAGCACCTGCTCAACTGGTGTGTGCAGATAGCCAAGGTACGGAAGGCATCGAGTTACATGGGTGGGTCTGTTCAATGGCTTCAGTGTCTATGGGGGTTGTTGTTGTGTTAATTGCTGATGTAATTGGGATGTTAAGTAGTTAGAGTTTTTTTATTTGTTGTGCATGTTCAATAATACTGGTTATACCTTGTTGATAGGTTTTTGAAATTAGTGTCACATGATAAAAAACAAGAAACTGAGCATTTCTGCTGTGCACGTTATGATTTTGTATTTACATCAGCTACACTGCACACAGTCTCACACACAGTATACTGTGCTGTTGAGTGACCTCAGGTGATGGTGACAAGCTTATCTTGACAGATCTATGGGGTTAGATCTTGGCGTCTGATCAAGTGAAGTTGGCACATTTAACACATTAGTCAGCTTGTGCAAGAAAAACAGCTCTTATCCAATAAACCGCACTTCATCGTTTGTTTGACAAAAGGGTATGAACTACCTGGAGGAGCGCCACTTGGTGCACCGCGACTTGGCAGCCAGGAACGTTCTGGTGAAGACTCCTCAGCACGTCAAGATCACAGACTTCGGTCTGGCTAAGCTCCTCAATGCAGATGAGAAGGAGTATCACGCAGACGGTGGAAAGGTTGGTATCACGATATTAAGAGTTATGGTTGTGCCGCACACTTAATTTCATTTTTTTGAAGCAATGTGTTTTTACTTTTATATATTTACTCAGTTAGTGCTGGCATGACAGATGTTTTCCTGTAGTGGTGTGAATTTCTTCCACTTCACGAAAGATTGCATTTGTAATATTGCTGTAGATTTTTATCTTGTGTCAATAAACAGACCGAAACGATGGAATCAGATAAGTTCCTTCACTTATCAGTATTTCCTGCTGTGACTGAAAACACACATTTTCTCAAAGAAATCTTATATAGTTTATATTTCCCTTGTATCTGCAGGTGAGTGTTTTCCTCAACAATGGTCCCCACAAGATATTAACACCCATTTTATTAAACTTAACTCCAAAACCCCAATTATATGATCAAATATCTTTATAATAGGTTTCTGATATTATAATTTTTTTAATAACTGGGACACATAAGGTGATAGTGTTCAGTTTCAGTCCAGACATTTTATCACCTGCAGAGGGACAGATGTTGAGAGGTCAGTTCTTTGAAATTCATCCGGGCAAAGCTCGACTTGAATACACACATCTGCAGCCGCTAAGATTTCCCCTCGTTCTTTCCAGTTATAAAATGCTTTGCTGCTCTGAAACATGGTGTTAATTAAATATTACAGGACAGTTTCTCCAGACAGGGATTAGGCCCTGTCTTCGCCTAATTCAAAATTGAGTGGAGCCAGCCATTTGAAAAAACATCTTTTTGTGCGAAACCAGACTTAATCCTCTTGCAGGAAATCGTTTTTTCATGTGACGCACTCTGTGTGATGACAGCACCCTGATTCTCCTTTCCCGTAAACTGCAAACTCAAGAAAGAAGAAAAGAAATTGACTAAGCACGTTAGATAAACTTTTTTTAAGCAACACTTCATAACTTTTTGACCTTAAAATTCACTGACTTGAACTAGAGAGAACGATGCAGCTTCGATACCCACTCTTCACCCTAAACCTCTGTACTTCACTATGTAAAATTGAAGAAAAATATACTTTTTATTGGTTCTCTTTACTTTTTGACTTATTTAACCTTCATTTCACAGGTCCCGATAAAATGGATGGCTCTTGAATCTATCCTGAACAGGTCCTACACGCACCAGAGTGATGTATGGAGTTTCGGTAAGCTTTATCTTTATGTTTGCAATGCATCCACAGCCTCTAACTCAGCATGAACCTTGCTCACCGTGTCCCAGATTGAGCCTGAATCCTTGTGTAATGTTGGATATGTAAAACAGCTGGGCCTCTGTACTCCTGAGTGATGGTGACAGTCTCGCAGGAGAAATATTTATTCCTTGCTAAATAAAGTGTTTTAACAGCAAGTGAGACACGGAGAGGACAGTGGTTATGAGGCTCCAGAAAGGATGTTGTTGTTGGATGTAATAGGCGTGTCAATATTTTTGAAAGGGGAGAATATCTTGTTAGCATCTGCGATTTTAGAACGCAGGTAGCACACGCCTACACACCAGCAGTCCCAGATGGACAATATCACGTCAGAAGAGATTGTTACCTCAACCCACATAAACAGTTTCACAAACTGTACTCACACATGCCTACACACACACACACACACACACACACACATACACACATGGAAACCACACACAGCACAGCTCGCTTCAGTGGGCCGGCCTCCAGATCGTCTTTTCTCAAGGTTTTGATCGTGCCTTTCGCTCAGTATGGCAAAAGCATCAACTGACCCTGGCAGCTTCCTTTCCTCCTTTTCCTTTTCTTCAGTTTCTCCAGCGATGATGAGAAGCATCCTGCAAACCCCCACTTCTTGCAGGAAGAGCCAATTTGTCAACATAACAGTTTGGATCTGAGAAGGCTCACATTCTGCCTCTCTCACTTCTCTGTTACGGGGAGGAAAACGAGGTTGAACGGCAGCTCATCAGACTGACGTGTTCCTAACTCTCCCTCTCTCTGTAGGCGTGACAGTTTGGGAGCTGATGACATTCGGGAACAAACCGTATGATGGGATTCCAGCCAGTGAAATAGCTGAACTCTTGGAGAAAGGGGAGCGACTGCCCCAACCACCAATCTGCACCATCGACGTCTACATGATCATGGTGAAATGTAAGCTCAGTGGGAAACCTCCCAAATAAAATCTAAGTTCCTGTTTATATGATGGAACTTCACATACAAGGCTATTGATAAGGTGTTTTTGGTTTGTAATGTATTTTGATAAAATAGTGTTTATTATTCCATGTTTTCATGTTGTCTGTCCATTTGTCCCATTCTTGTGAACCCGATATCTTAGGAATGCCATGATGGAATTTCTCCAAATTTGGCACAAATGTTCACTAAGACTCACAGATTAAATAATTTGATTTAAGCGATCCAAAGGTCCAAAGGTCAAAAGGTTGCAGTGGCTTAGTTCCACTTCTCAAATTTTACATCCCACTGAAAAAGAGTTAATTTCTGCCTTTATCCTCACAAAGACTTTTAAAGTTTCATCTTATTAAGTCTAACTTATTTTCTTTTATTCCTGCTGATGTGTGTGTACATGTGTACAGGTTGGATGATTGATGCCGACAGCCGACCTCACTTCCGGGAACTAATAGCTGAGTTTACGAAGATGGCTCGGGATCCTTCACGGTATCTTGTCATTCAGGTATGATTTTACTTTAAAAGCCTGGAACTGAATTTCTGTAACTAATGAGATACATAAAGATGAAAAGTTAAAATCTCTGGCTATTCCAGGGGGATGACCGCATGCACCTACCGAGTCCCACAGACGCTAGGTTGTACCGCAGCCTGATCAGCGGGGAGGACATGGACGACGCTGTGGATGCAGACGAGTACTTGGTGCCACAACACAGCTTCTTCAGCAGTTCGAGCACTGCGCCGCTGCTCCACTCCACAGTAAGTGAAGTCATGAAAGAGGTTGGGTGTGTCTGTCCCCTCGGCTTCTCTGTCTCATGTGACATTTGTGGGACCAGGCCACAGCTTTTGGCAAAAGCTGAAAGACAGAAAAGAATCCTGTCTAAAATGGTGTGACTCATTTTCTGCTTTGTGGTCAGGCATCCAAAACAAAAAGGTCTACTGCCTGAAGGTGAACAACGTCCTCAAGCCGGCGTAGTTTTGCTGCAAATACATCTTAGTGTACAATGATTATCACAAGATATGTTGTTTGATTGTCCACCTAAAGTTTTATTAGGAATTATGCTGACCCTGTCTAATAGTTTGCTGTGAACTGAACTCAAAGATGCTAACCAGAGCTGCATGAGAGAACGCAAATGTCCAAGTCAGTCACTCTCGACATTTTCCAGAACTTTTCCTCCAGAACCAATATCGCGGACCATTTCCAGAGTTCATGCCTGAAAACGTCCTATGACGAGAGGAAAACAGAATTAAATAACATATAAAGTATTCAGTACTTTCACATGAACAAAAGACCTAGTATATTAGAATATACTAGAGTACAATTATTTACATTTAAACTGAAGCAGCTGTCGACCAGATTCACCACATGTGTCTCTAATCATAAAAATCTTGAGATCCAGAGTCGGAATATTGTCACGGTACTGTGAACTTGAAGCCTCTGCAAAGTTAAGTGAAAAAAGGTGAACGGGTTCATTAGGTGACGCTCAGGTACTTTTGCTACACACACACACACACGTGCCAGATCCAATCACACTGACCTTGTCTTTATAAACAGTGAGAGAGGAAAACCATGTGTTCTGGAGGCAGAGTCAAAATTTTCCCCACAAAAAAGCTGCATTAATTGATTAAGAATTAGCAGCAGACCCCTCAGCAGTGCACACTTCACCCAACATGCTGTCAACTGTTTGAAAATGTCATTGTGCTATTTTAACTGTGTTCTGGGAAATGGGATTTCTGCATAAATCATTACTCTGTGAGTCAGAATGGAAATAAACGCAGAGTCACATTCTTTTTTTTCTTCTATTCGTAGCAATCAGCTTTAACTAACAGCTGTTAAAGTTTATGTGAGCGGTCACACAGTAAAGGAGAGGGAGGACGGTTGAATTCATTTTCCTAACATGAGACCTAAATGGCCGCTCGTACCTGGCCTGAACCCCTCTCACCCCACTTGCCACGGTTCTGTTTAACTTTCACCATGGGGACCATTCCTCCTCTTCCTGACCCCCTGCCCACTCGTCCTCATCCCCGTCCGCGCTCCCACGTTTCCTCCCAGGTGCCCTTTGATTGATGAGAGCTGGAGATGGAGAACTCCTCTACCTCAGGTTCAGTGAAGGCCAATGCGTAGGTCTGGCTCTCGTACCTGGGACTGTTGCTCGGCCATGAACAGCTTGGTCATCCCATACGAGCTTTCAAGTTTAATTACCTTTGCAGGCAAACTTTGTGAAATCTTTCTCAGCACAAGCCTGCTTTTGTAATATCACTGTTGGAGCATGGCCTGCCAAGGGTTGTGTTTTTTTTTGTTTTTTTTACAGATCGTCGCTCCTTCAGCGTGTTTAATTTCCTTTTCTTGTTGAAAGTAATTGCATTGCCATGGCTGACACTCCGCTCTCTTTCTTCGCTCGTTTTCCCCGGTTTTAAACGCCGCTCACAGTCGTTCAGCTCAAAAGTCTGACGGACACAGCAAAGCTTGTCAGTTTGCCTGAATGAATATGAATCTGCTGCTCTTGTCGTTTATTTTGATCCTCATCAGCTTGTACCGAGATGACAGCTATGGTTCCTGGGGCCCCATAAAAAGAAAATGTTACTATCACCATTCAAAGAAAGCTTATTGTCTCCTGAGAGGCTTTAAAATAAATGTCAATGACCAGAAGAATTACACACTCAAGTTTACATTTTCCCTTTTGCAGAGCCTCAACAGCAGCATTGGAACGTGCCACAGCAGAAATGGTTTACTGGTGATTGAAAATTCTTAAACTTAATTCTTAAAAAATCTGTGAACTTTATTTCGTATAACTTGTGTTGTTTTGCTCTAAATCCCTCTGTCCTTTGTCACAGAATGGGTTACCGAGCAGGGACGGAAGCTTGGTTCTCCGGTACATCCCCGACCCAACAGACAAACTTATAGACGACGCCTTCCTGCCTTCTCCAGGTGAGTATCCTCTGACTGTGGTGTCTCCGTGTGATTCCGGGTGGAATGGGGACATCTAGTGGACAAGAAGCATACTGCTGTACTTATCTCCACTGCTTTCACAACACTTGAAAATGAATAGTGGCGACACTAGGGCTGCACCCATGACCAAGTTGAATACACTTTATAACTATCAGTGTATAATAAACCACATTTATTAGTCTTTTGAGGAGCAAACCTGAAAGTATATGTAAATATATGTTTATTTCATTCATTGACCAAACAAAACAATTAAAATGAAAACACAAAATCTCAAATCTTGAATGAAAAGGAGCAGAAAGAAGAATAATCCTATACAATCTGCCGCTCTTTCACAAGACATTCATTAACAAAGCAAATAATTCAATAACATTTAATTTAAAAAAAACTCAGTGGAAAGTGGAAAATACTATGTAAATACTCAATTCAATAAGATGCAATATACACAGGACAATAACAATAAAAAGGAAATAACATTATATCAGGTACAATATATTACATTTTAGGTAATTTCTTCAGGTTGATTATTTTTTTATGGATGTAACTCATACACCGAACATATTAAATCAACTGTAAAACCTACAAGTGACAACACCAGTGATTGCAACACTCAAGTTTTATTTTTTGTTATACTGTCACCACTGCAGCACCATAGGAGGAATTTAACTTAAATAAAGCAAACAAACTAAACAAAGACAGCTCGTGTCTGGAACGTTGGAAATCGTAGAAAATTGGTTGAACATGTAAAACTTGGAGCCCCCTGGTGGCATAGAGGTTAAAGCACTTATCATGAATGACATCATGTCTTCAGACCCCATCTCTTTCCCCCTATATCGTAAAAATGCCCCTAAAAGTAAATAAATTGAGGAAAACCATCATTATGGTCCAGTATGTTTTAAAGATAACCCACACATTCACTATGTCAACCTTTCTTACAGACTACATGAACCAGAACGGAGTCTCCGATGTGATGAATCCCATCTACCAGCACCCGCGTCAACCTCGCACACTCCTCCCCACCATCTCCTCGGACGACACAGAAACGGAGTACCTGAACTGCTTTAAAAACGGGTCCAACGGGCCCGAGTATCTCAACGACATCCCGCCCCGCGCCATCCTCCCGCTTACCTCCAACGGCAAGGACCACTTCAATCAGAAATACCACCCCCAGAACAGCATAGACAACCCCGACTACCAACAGGATTTCAGCCCCTTCTTCAAGAGCCACGCCAATGGTAACATCCCGGCAGCGGAGAACGCAGAGTACCTGGGTCCAGACTGATGACATAATGGGTACAGTCAAAAAATACAAGACAGTTTCCTTTGTTTCCTGACCATTAATGTCTGGGCTGGAGAAGCACACCTGAGTGGTACCATCATGTATCATGTATGTTTTATCCTGTCTCTTGAAGTCAGGTGACACTGTGCAGCTTTCCATGTTGTTTGCATGCTGTGTAACTGTCATATAAAACCTGCCTCATTCCAAAGAGCTTTTTCCTCACAAATCAAACGATAAGTGACTTTATCTCGGTGAAAGCTGGATGAGGGCCGACACATACATGACTCAGTTGACCTGAGTTTGTGGAGCAGATGCGCTCCATCCAAATATCATGACCCCTCGTCAGAAAGTGAAAATCTGTCTCAGAAGTGAAAATGCTGCATTTGATCCAAATGTGTCAGTGGAGGATGTAAGTGCCTGAATTTCTTTGGGAGGCAGAAGGACAGAAACTGGCAGCTCAGCCCAAAACACACCTTTAGGTACATGTGTCACAGAATCACAATCAGCAAGGAGTATTGATTAGTTTGAACAGAAAGGGTTGACACACACACACACAGTGGAGCCTCGGTCGACACTGTGAAGCCTTTTACTGGTGGGGCCCTCGGGGGCCTGACGACACTCCTCTTGGAGGATAAGTCAACGAGGAAGCAAGATGTCGCAATGTATAGAAATTATTGTTAAGTAGGAATAATGGTGAATGATATCATTTAAACATGTTAACCTTTCTGCTCGAAGACAGTTCTGTGTGTGTGTGTGTGTGTGTGTGTGTGTGTGTGTGTGCATGTATTTGATTTTGTTGACTCTTTAGCACCTTTTCCAGCATAAACACAGACCTTCTCGAGACCAGTAGACCTAATGGGGACCAAAGCCTGGTCTTAATGAGGCCAAATGTAATTTTTGAGGTCCTGGTTAAGTTTAGAAGTAAGATTTGAACTGTGGTTAAGTAAAGGTTCGGGGTGAGATATGAATTGACCATGGTTAGGGTTAGCATTAGAACACAACACTGTCAATGAGTCCCTCATTGAAACCATAATCGACTGGTTAAAATCCCATCATAGAAAGATGAAATCAATAAAATAGAAAAAATGATTGAATAAGAGCAAAAAGAGCATAGACACAGGTGGGATAGCTTCTCCATCTTCTATGTTAAAATGAAGATTTGTA